GCGAGCTTACCGATACGGTGGTGCCAGGCGCCAGCCTCCTCCGCCCCGGGTGCGAAGCATTCAGCGCGGCCCCAGCTGCCAGGGGAGAGCTGGCCTAAGCTGGAGCAGAGGGAGGTGGGCCCTGGTCCGGAAGGGGTGGGGGTTAAACACTGACCCTTCTCATCTGGTCCTGCAACTGCTCCCGCATTGACTCAGGGCAGTTATCAAGTTGGCTCTTCGACTCATTGTAAAGCGCTTGGAGTTTCGCTAGCTCCTTCCTTTCAGCATCAAGCTTTGCCCTTTCCTGAATTGGGGGAGAACAAAACAAAACAAAAAACAAAACAAAAGAAAAAAACAAAAAAGAGAGAAAACACACTTCTCAAATCCGCGCCATGCAGAAGCTGGAGAGTTAGACAGTGGCCCAGGCAGAGAGAAGGGAAGGGGCAGAAACTCCCCGGGAAATTGAGACAGCGAAAGGCACAGGAGTCCCAGGCCGGGTGCGCTGCAGTGGTTAAGACTCGGGCTGGACCTCGGTCTCGTGTTTCACAGCAGAAGGCCCACCTACGGGCTGCACTGTTGTCCCGGCTTCAGAGCACACCTAAAGCTGGCCCAGTTCTGCAAATGGCTTTATCTGGTGGGCATCTGTGCAGCCTGCCGTCACGGGACTCCCCGGGGCAGCCGCTGCCACCAGTCCCTTGCATTACTGGATGTTAGTCTTGAGGAGAGTGATTATATATTTTTGTTAATGAGAGCTCAGAATCCAGGCCGCGGTCAATTAACCAAGCAGGCCCAATGCGCAGCTAAGCGGCCACCGACCACCCTTCCCTACAGGCAGGGATGCCCCAGCACTTTGGTTGCCGGCAGGATAACAGTAAAAACAGGAGACTGAGATCCAACCTCTCCTCAGTTAATGAGCGTTTTGCTCCGCTGGCCTTCCGGAGCTTGTCAGATTTTGCTGCAGGGGGTTAGTGGCAGAGCAGATGCAGACAGCGGGAGACCACGAAAGGAAGTCAGGAGTCCCAGCTCCCTGTCCCCGGCCCCCTACAAGGACAACACTCTCCGCACGCTGGACTCCGTGTGCTGCTACGCTCGCACACCCTGCTCCAACCCAGTGAACTTCATCCTGTCCGGGACAGGCGGGCACCGCTAGGAGAGCCTGCAAACTCCTGCAAGCCTCGGCAGGAGGGCCTGCCCCAGAACATTCTGCCTCGAGGTCCACGTTTCACAAGCATCTTTCACTACCTTTGTGCGCACCGGCTTTGCCGTCGCTCAGCACTTCAGATAGCAACATCACATTCTCTGTACACACACATACTCGGCCCATTTCTGCTCCTGGCACAGAACTTTCCATGCCAGCACAGCCAGCTCCGCACGCCCAGGTCAGTGCGTCTCAGCCCCAACGCGCCCCGGGGCCCCTCGTCCCCGCAGCGGCCTGCTGCCCTCGTCACAGCTGCATCGGCGCCGCAGCACCAGGCACGGCTGGTCCCTGCGGG